CTCTGCAGAAATGGCTGACAGGAACGAAGCTCCCAGGGAAGGAGATGTACCTGCTCCTGCTCTCTGCCAGCAGCTCTTCATTCTCCACCTCCTCCTCCACCTCTGCTGGAACCCAGAACTGGTGCTGAGAGGCTGACCTGCAGAAAGAAGAAGAGTAAACGCTCTGTAGCTTTAATATTATATTAAAATGATCATCTGTGACACGACACACAGATCAGTAAACTAGGCACAGTGCTTGTCTGGTGCATACTTAATGATCCTGCCAGCGCTGGGCTGCTCCTGACCCCAGTAGAACAGATCCAAACCAAATGGAACCACTGGAGCGTTGACACTGGTCTGCTTTGAACTGGACTGGGATGAACTGGGCTCCGAGGAGCTGCTGCTAAATGGAACACGTTTGGAGAACCATTAAAAACCTTTCCAAGTTACTCAGACTTCACACTGTTCTCGTCTCTCCTTCATATTTACAACAGTTGGTGTCACTGAGACATAATACAGCAGTGTTACTATATGATTATAATGTAGTGAGAAGAGGAGGGGGGGGGAGATGGTTGCTGGGGGTTTAAAGAAAGCCGACCTGCAGAGGCAGCGATCAGACTTCACCTGGATTCTTTGGGCGGCAGCATCTTCTCTCTAAGCAGGTGCAGTGTGGCGACAACAGAGGTTGGATCCTGAACCTCTTCTGCGAGCTGCTTCAGCCGCCTCTTTGAAGAATAGGAGGAGGAAGAAAGAGGAGGAGCTGCAGGTTTTTTACTGGAAGGTTTCTTTTCTGCGACTGATCCTGTTGAGGTGGAAGGAGAGGGATCCAAACCTGCAGAGAGGCGGATATCGATATGTAAGGACTGGTTCGTCTCACATCCAGCTCCCAAGAACGAACGGTGAACCCACGCAGCCGCTGCTACTCTTCCTTCCTCTGATTAAAATGGCCAACATCAGTGGTGATCGCTAACATCACCTGCTCATTAATGTCACCTGAGAACGTGGCCACTGAGACTTTAGCTTTCTGTGCTCTCTCCAAGCTGCTGAACTCTTGAGCCGCTCCCTCTTACATATTTAGCTTCTTAGGAGCCAGACTTGAATTTTTAAAGTGGTATTGAGCGATAGTTCTGGAAACCTTCACAGAACCTTCTGAACCTTGAGTTGAAGACAGAAAGTGCAGAAAAATAGTGCTGAAAATGTGTGTGAATGGGTCAATGAGGCATGATATGTAAAGAGTTTTGAGCACTTGAGTATATAAAGAAGTCGCCTTTTATTTTCTGCACACATTGGTACGTCTGGGATTACTGCCTGATTTGGAGTGCTGACAGGAATGAAGACAGACCTCCAGCAATGTGGGGTTATATCTCCAGGATAAGTGAAGTCAGACGCTGTTGTGTGTGTGTGTGTGTGTGTGTGTGTGTGTGTGCCCGCTTCTGTGTGTGTGTGTGTGTGTGTGTGTGTGTGTGTGTGTGTGTGTGTGTGTGTGGTCAAGCACAATATCATCTGGAGTCTCTGGGGATTGAACAAGACTTAAACACACACACAGCAGGTGAGATCAGAGGGATGCAGTAAGCCGAGAGCTGCCAACATGCTGATCCCAAACATTATTAGGACTGACCCGAGTGCTTCAGGGATTCAATCACTGGCAGAGACTAACACAAGTCATTCACACGG